GCCAAAGACTATTGACACCAACAGGTTCAGCAAGCTGAAGGCAAATGCGGTGACTTACGCGTGGATTACTTTTAAGTGGTAGTAGACTTGCGGTGCATTTACAGCACTCTCTCGCCCTCCCTCACATGGGACCGGGTGGCTTGACTAAGTCCACAAGACTGGAGGCAGGGGAGGACGCAGGTAGCTGGCACGACCGCAGCCGCTCCTAAGCATGCTGCCGAACCGAGCTCGGATCCGACAGACAGTGGATATACCACAGCCATGCTAATCACAGACAAATTTTGTTTAATAGCATAGGGGCAGGGAGGCCTGTGCAGTTCCTACAAGGAACGCGGGCTGGATATTAAAGTCATACCACACGGGGATGATGACGCAAGTTGCAAGAACATTGTCCCAACATTAGAGCATGGTGGCTGTGAGAGAGAGAGACAGTGGGCAGATGCTGCGTGAGTCTGATTCGCCATCAGTAAATATCCCACTGCACCCTTTCCAAAAATGGGACCCGTCTTTGCTCACGACAGGCGAACATCACATATAAGCCATAACCTTGTGAGAACACTATGGTAAATCGACTGCTCGATTTGTTGACATATGTGAACAACTAACTGTGTGAATGTGGTTGTCAGCATTTGAAGCGGTGGTCTGTGGATTGTTTTTTGAAGCTGCTGTCCGCCGGGAGGGGGGAGGGTAATGAGACTGAACGCATATCACAAAGCAGCAAAGGGCTCCAAATAATATATACAGTATTTAAAATGGGCAGACTCTGAAAGCATTGGATTCGATGTAATCAGTTTTGGCCAGTGTTCGCCAGTCCCCAAAGGTCAAAGAGAACGAAGTTTGCAGCCGACTAACGGAACTTGCTTGGAATAGGTAAAATTCAGTTTCGAAACTACGTGACTTTCAAGCGGTACTGGGTGATGGCAAATGGCAGAGGGGAGAAAATAAAATCTTAATTTGGGTGGGGGGGACTGGGAGTGCGACGCTTACCACACAATGGATTTCCGCCATCAGCGGCAGAAGTGGCTGTGGCATCTACCGGTGACTTAGTTGAGTCTTCAAAACTAAGCAGGCCCTCGGAGACTGCACTGAGAACGGCGCGTTCGATCAGTTGCAGCGCATGTTCGCAAAGTCGGATAACCTGTTCCGATTTTTCCATCTTCTCCAACACAGGTATCAACTGAAAAATCGAAGCCGAGCAGCAAAGGTATAAACAGAGAGAAACGATAAATAGAAAACATAAGGGCGGCGGTCTAGCGCGACACAGCCACCAATTACAATCCCTCCATATAGACACAAAAGTGCTACATAGAAGTATGGAAACATTTGAAAAAAACACGGAAACTTTTAAAGGCACCGAAAGGACC